CCTTGGGGCATATACCTAGCAGAGGCATCTCTGGGTCCAATGCTATGGGCATCTGAGTCACTTTCTTTGCAGAATTTTAAACTGCTTTCCACGATGGCTGGACCAGTTCACAACTCCAGCTTCAGCTCCAGATTGGTGTGCCCATCTTCCTACAACCCCTCAGCTTTGAGTATTCTCATTTTTGGTCATCTTCCTCAATTTTTTCAACTTAAAAAACCTAACAGGCATTTATTAAGCATCTCCTTTGTGTAAGGCATTGTTCCAGGTGCTGGAGATACAAAGACATCAAAAACCAGGAGAAGGCAGGGTGACAACTGGTAAGGAAAGTGGCATTCAGCGTCAGACAGATTGTGTGTGCCAGGGTTATACAGAAAGGCAAAACCAGGGATGCCATTCCTGAAGGGGATACTTAAGGGAAACAGAATGGGCAAACAACCATGCTCTCATGAGAAGGCTAGAGTCCAGGAGCTCCCGCCACTTGGAGTATGTGGGAGAGAGAGAGAGACAGAGAGGTAGGGGGAGAGAGACAGAGAGAGATGGAGAAGGAGGAGGAGAAGAAGAAGAAGAAGGGAGGAGGAGGAGATGAAGAAAGAGGGGGAATGAGTGAAAGAGAGCCAAAGAGGAGAGAAAGAGCCACAGAGAGTCACAGGCAGAGATAGAGAGATTGAGTGAGAGGAGGAGGAGGAGAGAGAGGATAGAGAGATTGGAACAAAGACAGACAGTCAAAAGCAGAGAAACAGAGAGAAAGAGATTGAGGGGGAGAAGAAGGAGGAAAGGAGGGAGAAAAAGAGAGTGAGATCGGGAGAGATGTGGTGGGGAGAGGGAAAGGGAGAGAGAAGAGAAATGCTTGGGTTAGGAACCTGGGGTCCAAAAGTCTCCTCTCTGATGTGTAGATGAGAACACACGCAGCAAGTAAGTCTTCCAAGGCAACCATTAACGGTTCATGGTGTGCCTCTCCCCCTCCCTCTTTTATCTATTATGCAGAAAGTGTGTGTGTGTGTGTGTGTGTGTGTGTGTGTGTGTGTGTGTGTGTGTGTGTGTGT